TGATCTACATCCTTCAATTGGGTCAAGTTTTGTAAATGGCTCAAATTCGAGACACAATATAACAATTCTCTATCTTGACTCGACATTTGAAGCCAAGTCATAGTATTCATCATCCATGCTGCTCTACCAACACTCGACGGACGCTTACTCTCTACAGATGCCAATTGAGTTTTAAGCAAAACTTGAGCTCTGCCAAAGGAACAGGTTTAGTCATCATGTCTACCGGATTCTCTACTGTTGCTATCTTCTTTACAATAACTTTACTCTTCGCTAAGACATCTCGGATGAAGCAATACCTGATGTCGGTATGCTTCGTTTGCTCGTGATAAACCGAATTACACGCCAGATATATTGCATCCTGGTTATCACAATGTATATCAACACATTTCCGATCTAATCCAAAGAATGAGAGCAAACCCCTCATTCATATCGCCTCCTTCGCCATAAAGGTTAGTGCCATGTACTCAGCCTCAGTCAAAGACAAGGTAACATGATCTTGTAAGGACGCTTTCCAACTAATTGCACCACCTGCAAGCGTAAACACGTAACCTGCTAAAAACCTGACTCATCCAAATCACTGGTGTGATACGAATCCACATAACCAGTGGTCCCATTGCCATTATTGTCCCTCCAATACACTATACCCAAGTCCATTGTCACATATATATCTTAGGATCCACTTCACAGCTTCCAATGAGTTTTACCATGATGCTTCACGTAACGGCTAACTATGCTCACAACTTGTGAAATGTCAGGCTTAGTGCATACCATAGCATACACAATGCTACCAATTGCACTTGAATAAGGAACACGGGATATATGCTCCTCCTCCTCCTTAGTCAAAAATTTTAACGTGCTTCTCAAAAGGTGTACTTGCAAATTTAGCTGACTGCATATTAAAATGTGCCACAATATTCTCAATATATTTCTTTTGAAATAGACGTAAAGGTCTTGCAGCCTACCATGCAAAATCTCCATACGTAATATTTTCTTTATAGCACCTAAATCTTTCATCTCAAACTCAGCACTCAACTGTCTCTTTAGCACATCAAAATCAGACATATTCTTAGCTGCTATGAACATGTCATCAACATAAAACAACAGATAAATCAAAGACCTATCCTCTAATCTCCTAAAATAACCACATCTATCCATTTGACTTTTTCGAATAGTCCTGATTAGTCATAAAAGCCTCAAAACGCCTACACCTCTGTCTAGGAGACTGTTTCAGCCCATACAAATATTTCTTTAACAAGCAAACATGGTCTTCCTTACCCAAAGTAGCAAATCTCTCTAGCTGCCTCATGTAAATCCACTCCTCTAACTCACTATGAAAAAACGTCGTTTTCATATCTAACGTCTCCAGCTCGAGATCCTGTGTAGCGACTAAGGCAAGTAATATACGAATAGAGTGTGTCTTACCACAAGAGAGAACACCTCATTGTAGTCATTGCCTTCCCACTGTGTGCACCCCTTTGCAACAAGTCTCACCTTATATCTCGCTAGCTCAACACTGGGAATGCCCCTTTTCTGTTTTTAGACCCATTTGCTTCCAACAATCTTCTGGCTCTTGATTACTTTGACTAGCTTCCATGTCTGATTTCGATAGAGTGATTCAGTCTCTTCACTCATAACCCTTTGCCACTACGATGACTCACTATTAGCCATTGCCTCAGAGTAAGACAAAGGCTCATCTGTCTCCACCTCATCACCTATAGTTAATGCATAAGCAATATCTATATAGCCATAACATATTGGTGGTTTAATTTGCATTCTCTGTCTACTCGCGGCTATAGTATGCTGCGGTTGTGCTGATTGTTTAGTATCATCGAATTTAGGAATTAGGGCCTCATCTGCAGTCTCAATCAATGTTACCTCCGAGTTCTCTAGAATCTCCACCTGAAACTCCACCTCACTACTGACACCATGATTTGTCTGTTCTGCTGGTCGTGTCTCCGGACTCCTCTATTGAAGCATTACAGTCTCGTCGAAGATCACGTCTCTGTTTAAATGAAAATCGAGTGATCTGGAATTAGTGCACCACAGCCTATAGCCTTTCACCCCATGTGCATAACCTAAAAATATACACTTATTCACCTTTAGCTGCTTACCATGACTTGCATGAGCATACGCAGGGCATCCAAATACTCATAAACCGGGGTAATCAACAGGTTTCCTCTACTATACTTCTTTAGGAGTCTTCTACTCGATAGCAGATGATAGAGATCAACAAACTAGATAGTATACCATGTTTACTGCTTTGGCCCAAAATTCCTTGCCTAGTCCTGCATGCCAATGCATGCATCGAGCTCGCTCTAGTAAAGTTAAGTTCTATTTTGCTAGCCATTATGTTGTGGTGTCCTAGGTACCATGTGGCGTCTCACAATCCCTTCTCTCACACAAAATTCGGTAAAATATTTACTATAGAATTCCATGTTGTTATTAATTCTTAGGCACTTGATTTGTTTATCTAATTGCTTCTCAACAATACCTTAAATATCTCGAACCACTCAAACACATCAGATTTGTGCTTTAGAAAATATACCCATACCTTCCTCAAATAATAGTCGATAAATGGTAGCATCTATCGGGCACCTTCTTTCGAAGGCACTTGAGAAGGACCCCAGATGTATGGATGAATGTACTCAACCGATTGTTTGGTCGAATGAATAGCTATAGTAAATTTAATCTGGCATTGCTTCCTAAAGATGTACTGCTCACATATGTCTAGCTTCCCTATTCTCTGACCCTTCAACAGCCCCCTCACTCAGCATCGTCATAACCACCTCACTCATGTGCCCTAACTATATATGCCATAATCGAGTCAAGTCAAAGTCTGACTCACTTGATGAAACAGTAGCAACTCCGGTCAAGCTCTCTCTAAGTAGATGATAGAGAGTATTCACTTTCTTCTCTTTCATCAGTGTCATGGCACTTCAAAAGATCTTAAGTACTCGACCTTCAATTGCGTACTTACACTCGATGTCATCAAGTGTTCTTAGAAAAACAAAGTTCTTCTTGAGCTTCGGTACATGCATCATGTCTATTAGCGTACGCACCACCCCATCGTGCATTCGAATCAAAACTATCATTATCCCCATAACCTTGCAGGCCACATTATTCCCCATCAGAACTCTACCGCCATCTATAGTCTAGTAAGTAGTAAACTAGTTCCTATGAGGCATCATATGGTAAGAACATCTCGAATCTAGCACAAATTTGTCTCCTGACAAACTAGTGGTCATACGCAAGACAATCTCTGCATCACTGGTGCTCTCCTCAGCAATTTCGCCACACTACTTGTGGCATTCGCCTGTCACCTTGGTTTCTCAGCTTCAGAAAGCTTCTCCCGATGTGCCTCTCCTCGTGACACTAAAAGCACTTTATGTGTCCCTTAGATTTTCTATGGTGCAACTTTGACTTGCTTTTACCTCTGCTACTACTGGACCCCCAACGTTGATCTCTACCTCGAATTACTAGTTCCCACGCTACATCTAGACTATCATCTCGCACATTTCTCTGCTACACTTTAAAGAACAAGGCGTACTTTGCCGCTTTCAAGATAATCGTAGTGCGCCCATGTAGCAATGAATCAGTAAAGTGTTCCCGGTAAAGAAGCTAACAACATCATGCCTTGCTTTTCATCATCTACAATCTTACCGACATTCTTTAAAACCATCATGAGTTTTTTAAACTCATTTAGGTGGGATCTAATAGACGTACCTTCAGTATATCTAAACTAAAACATCCTCTTCAACATGTACAAGTGATCCTTCGAACTCTTCGTTACATAGAGTGCTTGAAGTTTTGCCCATAATACCGCGACGTCCTTCTCCTCGACTACTTTTATTAACATCTCATCCGGAAGGTTCAACAGGATTATACTCCTTACCTTTCTCATTAGCACGTCCTTTTCATCATCTTTCATTGTTTCGGGCAACTTATTCTTACCCTCCAATGTTTTGGCCAAACCTTGAGTTGTTAATAATGTCTCTATTTTGATGCACCAAAACCCAAAGTTGTTCCTCCCATTAAACTTTTCAATTTCTACTTTTGCTCCATACATAATTGCAACAACAGAATTTCCTGATAATAATCAACTGTGAGCAATTGTAAACTTTGATTCTTCAATTATAGTGGATTATTAGCTACTAGCTCTCCCTATGGATGTGGGTAGCAACACTCGGACCGATCCACGTAAATGTTTGGTGTTCTTTATTGTTTCTCGTTTATTTCTTTGGTACTTTCGCATTGACTTAAATTGCAAGATCTCGGTTAGCTTTCGCGTTCGTTAATATTACAACAAAATTAATGCTGGAGAGGTATTCCAGAGTTGATAGGGGGAGATAACAAAGGACGCGGGAATGTAAATTACATGGAATTCGGTTTTAGCTAATAATGGATATTGGGGGCTAATTTTTTGAGCATCCAAATAATTTTCAGCAAACGTGGTAGTCACTATATTGAGTTAACGTACGGCGAATAATTTAAGAATTACCATAAAGAACCGCGTGAGTTGGTGCAAATCTTTTAATCAATGAAGGAAGGACTAAACCCAGAACAGAGCTTATAATCATGATTAGATATAAATTACGAGACAATGACACTGGAAGTCCATTGGCATGGACTGGGTCTATGTAATACGTCCCTACAACCTCGTGGCCTCTGACTGAGAAGAACTTCTTTGTCAACGGCAGCGCTTGTTTTACATGGAACCGGAACCAATTCCTCTGGATTCTCAAAACCTTAGGCTGGTTTCATCAAAACCTCCTTGCCCTGTGCTCCCTGCTGTTCCCTCCCATCACGCCTATAAATCACCACGCTCCCTCTCTATCTATCTCCCCACCACCACCAACTCCTCCATTTTCAGTTTTTACCAGGTCTCTCTCTCTCTCTCTCTCTCTCTCTCTCTCTCTCTGGCACGTCTTAGAACTTTGTTTCATGGAAGACATTTTGGGAAGGTACTTGATGCCATGTTGTTGGTATAGGCACTCGCTCTCACACGTTCACAAGGCGTCCACCACAGGTTTGTAAGTCCTACACAGCGACAGGGCCGATAGGATTGGGGAGGGCCCTCGTCCCCGCTGGCCACTCAATGGTTAATGTAACTTTGTCAAATGTGTTTTACGTAACTTCAAGATTAAGCTTTGTAACATTTTGAGATTGATCTGTTTATCGTAGTTCTTTGCACCACGCGCCTCTGGACTTTCTTTGTCCTCCCCTAGAAATTCACGTTTGAAAGACGAACCTTAGCGAAATCTTGGTCTCAAAACTTGTTGGAGCGCGTTTGAACATGGACTTCTTTTGACTATAATCATCATGAATCACAGCCTCAAGATATAGCATAACTTCATCGGTCCTTCGATGGGCGCGGTCAAAGATCAGGGACCAACACCGACAGAGAGCCAATTCCAGCACGGCGTGAAGCATCTTCACGAGAGTGGCCTCAAAAGACTGCCGACCAAGTACATACTGCCCCTCCAAGACCGGCCGAAACCCGAGCCCGCCGAGCCGAGCCTGAAGCTCCCCGTCATCGACCTCGCACAGCTGCAGGGCCCAGCCCGGCCGGGGGCCATCGCGTCCATCGCCGATGCGTGCAAGAGGTACGGCTTCTTCCAGGTGGTCAACCACAGGGTCACGAGGGGCACGGCGGAGGGCATGGCGGACGCAGGGCGGAGGTTCTTCGGGATGCCCTTCGAGGAGAGGGCCAAGTACATGTCGGCGGACATGTTCGCGCCGGTTCGCTACGGGACGAGCTTCAACCAGAGGAAGGACGATGTGTTCTGCTGGAGGGATTTCCTGAAGCTGACGTGCGAGCCCATGCCGGACGTCCTTACGCACTGGCCTGCTTCCCCTGCTGACCTGAGGTTCGCATATCCCTTACCAGTCGTTGAATAGAGCTAACTTATTTTCAATCTTCATTTATGCTATGTGACGTCACTTTACAAATTAATAGTGTCGTGTGACAGTATGCCATTAAAAAGGTCCATCTATTGCGTTAGTTAAATTTTAATTAGTATAGTATTATATATCATTTTTGGTTAAGCCCGTGTTGGTGACGCATGAATACTGCCATGCATGTTGTTTGTATCTATTTAGATAATAAAAAGAAGAATCTTAATGTAAGTCTGAATTTTTCTGACAACGTGATTAATTAAATTTCTTAAAAAGAGGACTATGCCGTGTCTCTTCGAATTGGTAAGGCTTGTACTCGAATTTATCGGGAAAGGTTGAAACCTCACACACGTCTTGTTACACTTTGATTATTATTTAGGGATTAAGTATATTTGAAGTCATAAAACTTGTGACGAAAGTACAATTAAGTCCTTAAATTTTTAAAAAGTGCAATCAAGTCCTATAACTTGTCAAACTGATCCAATCAAATCTTTCTATTTATTGCAGTTTTTTAAAAGTTTTAAGACCTGATTGTATTTGCGTGATAAGTTTTAGGATTTGATTGGATTTCCACCTCAAATTTTGATAATCACCCGTTCGAATCTCATCAATTGCGTGTAAACTATTAGGATCGATTTCACCAACACATGCCCAATGTCTGGACTAGATGATCAAGTCTCCATGCTTATGCCTCCAAAAAGAAATTCCAAATAAAACAAAAATAATTGACAAAACGTAAATGTCTCTCCTCTCTCCCCCGTGGACATGATTTGTCAACAATATTTCTAGGCAGTGGACTTGATTTGTTTACACTATTTTCTAGACGCGTAAGTAGTTTCTGCACAAAGCAATATTAAATCGAATCATAGGCTGTGCCTTGTGGCTATTCTTCACACGCAAATTGAATTGAATTAGATTCAGCTGCAGTCTCCCATATATATATATACTAGGAACTCCGCCTTTAAATTTGCAAACAATGTTTGTGGATCGGTGGCCTCTATTCGGCATAAAAAAAAAGTGTACAAATCTGATACAATATTACGTTCTTATTGTATATTTTTGTGAGACTGCTATTAGGAAAGTGGCGGCTAGCTACGCGAAAGAGATCCGGGACTTGTTTCTGGTGCTGATGGAGGCCATCTTGGAAGGCCTGCATGTGTCCAATACAGAGGAGAGGAAGAAGATGAAACCTGGGAACGAAGGAGGAGAAGAAGATGATGGTGATGATATCATGGAGAAGTTAAAAAATGGAAGCCAACTCATGGTGGTGAACTGTTTCCCTCCATGCCCGGAGCCTGATTTGACGCTTGGGCTGCCTCCACACTCCGACTATGGCTTCCTCACCCTCCTCCTCCAAGATGAAGTCCAAGGCCTGCAGATTCAGTTCCAAGAGAGGTGGGTCACTGTGGAACCCATCGAGAACGGGTTCGTCGTGAATGTCGGCGACCATTTGGAGGTGGGTATTCACAAATAAGCAACGTTAAGTAAGAATCGAGCTTGAGATCAGCGCATTTTTAATTTGATCAAAGGTAGGGTTTAGTAAAAAAATCATCTCCTTGTTGCATGAGACCTAGCGCTTCTAGCCTTTTACTAAGTAAGAATCGAACTTGAGATCATCGCATGCTTTTTGAAGTGCAATCCCTTGAGGTTACTAAGTAATAAGATGATGTTTAATTGGGTGATTAAATAATTGGAACTTATGCACAAGATAGGTTATTTGCACAAAAGCATATTAGCACTCTAGCATTATAAGATGTTTTTTTTTTTGTATTTTTTCTTGTTCTCATTAATAAGGAGGAAATTCATTCTCAAACCGGTCCGCTAGTCAGTAAAGCCTCTCTAAGCATGGTGAAATTATTGTGTATGTGGAGTCCACAAACACTAGAAGACACTCCTCAATGGCACCTACCTAAGTTTCCTAAATTTGAGATTGTGAGCATTTTTCTTCTCCACTACATATAAGAACAATTTTTCCTCGTGGATCCCACTTTCCTTGTTTATGCTAGAAAGGTAGTTGTAATTTTGATCACTAAATTTAAAAAAATGGATATGGTTTTTAATTATTACGAACATCATTAATGGGAATGCAAATAAGTCATACGTATATGTGTATACATGTAGGTTATGTTAACCAATGTTTTTGGGACACTTGATAGATATACTATATTAAAGAGGTTCACCTTTTAAAATAATGATTACCCAATTAACAAAACAAGTTTATCTATTGAAGAATGTAATATTTTCTTACCTAGTAACTTGACAAGTAGGCGAGGCAGGCACTCATTAGCACAATCACATCTATCATTTGATTAGAATAATTCGTCAATGAATTTTATTTATCAAATTCCATCCATTTCTCTTGGGAAAAGAATTAGCTTGTCATGGCAAATAATTAAAAAGGCACTTTTCTTTTCATTCTCCCACTATCTCCAGTTTTCACTTGGAAATCTTCCATTTACGTAGTGATAAAAGTAATTCATGCACAAAACATACAAATAAAACCTCGATTTTGTGACAGATTTTCAGCAATGGGAGGTACAAGAGCGTTCTCCACAGAGTCCTCGTGAACTCTGAGAGATCTCGAATCTCAGTGGCTTCCTTGCACAGCCTTCCTTACGAGTGCATGGTGAGGCCGTCCTCGAAGCTCATCGACAAAGCGAACCCAAAGCGCTACAAGGACACCAACTTCGGGAGCTTTCTCGAGTACATATCGTCTCGCGAGCCAAAGAAGAAGAAATTCTTGGAGACCCGGAAGTTGAATTGATCTTGAAAAGTATAGAAGAGAATCCCTAGTGGACAAGTTGGAAGGAGACTCTGTGTACTTTGACTTTTTGCAGCATCAATTATTTGGTATTGATTGGTATAGAGTCAATATTACTATTTTCTTCCGCCTCTTCTAGTCTTTGTTGTTTTTCTCCTCATTATAAAGCTCCAAAAAGTCTTCATATAGGTGAAATTGTTCAAGTCAAAACATTCACCAATCCAAATCCCATCACCTATATTTGCTAAGTCCTCTTATGAGAACGGTGGTTCTAAAAAGATTTGAGTTTCAAGGTGATGATTGTTGACACCTGATTTTTAGCTCATTTTTTCATATTTTCAAAAATCTCAAAATTAGAACTACGAATCTTGGCCAAGCTTAGAAACCTACTGCTAAACCAAAAATAAATTTTTAGCATTTTCCTGCATTTTTTCCTTAATTTCTTTTAGTCAAAATAAGTGAGAAAATCAAGAAAAATAGCAAATGAAATCAAAAAATTTCATAAAAATAGTCATTAATCTTATTTTAAATCCAATTTCATTAATACATCATCAATTTTGAAAAATCTCAATCGGGTATATGTTTTTCCCAAAATTGAGCAAAATCAAACTCGAATTGAACCAAAAATGCATTTCAATCTTTTCTAGTCATTTTTAAGTCATAGTGTCTTCACAACAAATGATTCTGGGACCTTGAATTACATAGTGGTCGGTCCAATTGCTCAATTTGTCAAAGAAATCAGAAAACCCCAAAATTCAATTAAAAATTAGAAATTTTGAGTCCAAATTGGGAATCGTGCCCAATATGAAATTGTCGAACCATGAGACCACCATTTCTAGGGTTAATCATATGTGGGTAATTCAATTTTGGCACCAATTTTGCCTAATCAGGTCATTAAGACATTGAATTGAACAAAACCCTAATAACCTGAATACAAAAGTTTGAAAATCTTGGACATGATTATGACAAAAATTGGGAAAAATCATATATTTGGGTTCAAAATATGATGAGGAATTCAATTTTGGGTTTAAATCTGAAAAATTGGGTTAAAATCGTGTCGAATTTATGAATTTAGACCAACCCGGGTCTGTCGGGTCGACCGGGTCAACCCAACCCGACCTGGGTCGATCACCTTCTTCACCCGGTTTACCTAGAATGCCCATTAAACCCAGAAAAATATCTTTAGCCCCGCGACTTTGCCGACCTTCTCCGATCAAATTAGCATGTTTTAATCGAGTTGGCCAGCTGAGATTCTCCAGCTGGCGCTAGGGAATCGATCCAACCGATCGAAAGTCGGTTCTAATGAACTTTAGGCGGGAATTTTGATCAACAAAAAGCTAGAAAAAAAATAGAACAAAGAGAGGAAGCTGTTCGACGAATTGCCGAAGAGAGAGGAGAGAGAAACAGACGCGAAAGAGAGTTTTCTAGAGGGAGAGTGAGTTGAGGCTTCCCGGACCGAGCGATCGGTGCTTTTCCGACCAGAAAAGCACCGGCAAATCGGCCCAGGTGGCGAGCCTCCTCACCTGGAACAGGCGGCCCAAAGCTAGTCGACTAAGCCTGAAAATTGGGCTCGGTCAATGTGCCTCGAGCCATTCCGGCGAATCCAAAGTCATCATCTTGAAGACGAAGTGTCCAGGAAGAGCTTTGTGATTGGAGATTGTCCTGGAAACACCTTTTGATCATCAAACGAAGCAGATAAAAATCGATCACGGTCACAGTTTTTCCAGAATTTCCAGAACTGAGTTCTATGCTCATGTGATTTCGTTGATGATTTTTTCACATTTTGATGTTTAAAACATGTTTCTGATCACATTTTGTGTTGTTTGATTGCATTTTTGGGCATTAAACGTGTATAAACCGAGTCGACCGTGCATTTGACCACCTCGCCGGAGTTCGAAGGTCTTCGCCGGAGTCTCGTCGTGACCTTAAGCCACTCAAGTTAGCCTCCCTTAATCCCTATTTGATGTTTTGAATCGTTGTTTTGATCGATCTAGATGGCTAGGGCGGTTAGAATTAGGATTTGCATTATGAAAAAAACTTGCCAAAAACAGTTGCGAATTAGGTTTTTTTGACCGATTTTTTTCGCCGGCCGGCGGGCTTCCGCCGGTGTTCTGAGCAGGCTAGATTTAAAATAGAACATATGGACATCATAATGGTGCAATCGGAATGACGAGATAGTTGCCGGAAGGTCGTCGGCGATGAGCTTAAAGTCACAGCCTCGAGAACATATAACACTGAACCATGCCTATTAAGTGTTTGTGAGAATACCCCAATGAAGAAGGCGTTAAACGACGCCGTTTTGGCATCGTGCCCGCCGGAGAAGATGACCGGCGCCGGCGACGCCCGGTTCGACCAAGCTGAACCGGGTTGAACCGGGCCGGTTCGGTTCATTTCCCGGCGGGAAATTTTAAAAAATAAATAAATAAATAAAAATCTAAAAAAATAAAAAATTGAAAAAAAATCACTAAAAAAATCTAAAAAAATTTCATAAAAAAATAAAAAATTCAGAAAAATAGGAAATTCATGGAAAAATAAAAATTTTCAGAAAATTCATAACAATTCAGAAAATTCTAAAAATACAAATGAAAAATGTGAAAAATTCAGAAAAATCTAAAAAAATTGAAAAATTGGAATATTCGAAAATTCATAAAAAATTTCAGAAAATCATAAAAATCATTTCTCGGTTAATGAAATTCTCAGAAATTCAACTTCCGAAAAAAAAATCAAAAATTTCAAAAATTCATAGAATGGTTCAAAAACACCGTGGCCAACCTTAAAAAGTGAAATTTGAATTTTTGGAAGTGCCCAAGTGGCATGTTTAGAAAATCTCAAATTCAGGGGTCGTAACCCCTAAAAAACCCTAAAACCCAAAAAAAAAGTGCAAATCATGAAATAAATAAGTTTCTAGGGCTTCACTAGGGTTTGGATGTTTTGATTGATTTTTATTTTTTAGAGACCATTTAGGATTGATTGATTTGATTGACATTGATTGCGCATTTAATACTTGATTGATTTTTCCCGCGATTATAATGGATAGAATTAGTGGGTAAGCCTCGGAAACTTACATGACACGTTAGACATCGTATCGTTCTTAGGTACCGAAAGGGCGTTAGGGATCTCGATGTGGGATCATTAACGTAACCAAGTCCCAGTACTCAGAATCTCTGGTTCGTAGGATCGTGGTATTTCTCCCATACCCCAATTAGGTTTCTAGTCTACCTACCAATAATGACTAGTGGCGACTCCAAAATCAAAAACTTAGATCAAATAGGCAATTACCATCCGCTGTCACGTGAGGTATGGTCTGGAAGAGACCCTTACACGGAAATACCTCCTTAGCGCGCAAATCCCAAAAATCCCAAAAAAAACGCGACGCGACAGGCTTGGCAACTCCACTGGGGAAAACCTTTTCTAAGTGGACTTAGGCCTAGATAGAATGATACGCATGTGTTTTGTGCTTGCAAGGATCCCAGGTACGTCCCGCTAACGATAGTGTTAAATGATTTTGCAGGCGGGTGGTATAAAGGGTGTAGTCTTTGCTAATCTTTGTTTTGCAGGATGATGTTGGGATTGAATGTGGTTTGAATGAATTTTAGAAGTACCGTTTGGTCATTAATTGCTATACATGCTTTTAAATTGCTTTAGCACTACACCATTAGCACACACCACCCGTGGCCCAACCCCGGCTACATTTAGGATTACCCTTGGGAGGTATATGTTTAGGCGAAACTATGAGCTGATTGCTCATGGGATCGTTTAAATGCAATACCGATCACCGAGGTGGAATAATATTCCTTTACTTTAGGCCGATTGCCTATTGGAATGGAATCCCTTGTCCATTAAGGTGGTGACCTTGAGCCTCTAGCATGTCCTACCCTTTTAGGCGTCAAAACTTCACTAGTTGCATTCGCTTGTCTTTGTAGTTGGTATACCTAAAACCTAGCGAAAATGTTCTGGTCAGCAAGTATCGTTCCATTCCATTCTTTTACAATTATGCAAGTTAGTTGGCACATTTTCAAAAAAAAAATGCCTAAATGACATTCAATGTTTGGTCTAAATGCCCTTTCATATTAGAATGCATGATTAGGGCGTCATACTCCATTTGACCATTTTTTCATTTTTAGATGAAATGTATAGGTCCATGGCGGATTTTCCATGTAATTCAAGTGCTTATTCGTTCATTTCAATGTATTCAAAGTTGTAAACCATAGTTTAGGACTTTATGATCTAAATGGAGTATGACAGAATGGGCATTTACATCACACATCGAATTTGTCTATGATTTCAAATATATGCTCTTTTAAGGTCTAAACGGACTCAAAATGACATTTGCATTACTTTCTAGGCATGCATGTGTATTTTACCTCTGTCTTACCTCAAAAGGACATATGATTGAAATGGAGGCATTAAAATTGATTCGTAATCCATGGTAATTAATAACAAATCTTTTTGCATGTTAGGCTCAATGGGAAAACTAGATATCCATGTAATTCCCATTCCTCGGAAGGAGCTCGTTGCTTGGTGGAAAGGCATGTCCAAGGACAATCAAACTTATGTCCAAGAAAGGCTTGGATACCTTCTCGAGCTCATGCATGTAGAACATCAAGTCAGCTTAGTCCAAGTTTTGGCACATTTTTGGGAGGTTTCCACCGTCACGTTCCAATTTGGAGAGCAGGAATTGGTGCCAACATTAGAAGAATATCAAGCCGCCATTGGAATTAATTTTAAGCCTAGGATTGTAGAGCCACTCGTTGGACTTAATCCTATGAGCCTTCTAGCTGAATTCCTTAACCTCAAGACTTTCAAAATCGAAAAGCTAATCAAATCAAACACGGGTAGATTTCCGTTATCTTTCCTAGTAGCCAACTTTTCAAAACTTCCTAGGGAAATGGGAAACACTTTAGCTCGGGTATTCATTCTAGCTTTCTTCGGCTTTATTCTATTCCCCGTATCTAAAACGGGATTAGACCCTTTAGTTGCTGTATCGCAAGACAAGCGTGTCTTAAGTGGGACTTTTCTAATATGCTTCTTGCCCAAACTGTTATTTCCTTCAACACATACCAAAATCATGGGAGGGGTATCTTTCAAGTTCTACTGGTCTTTTGTCATTATGGTTCATCTCACACATTCGACCATGGTGTCGTTTCATGAACATTCGCGAAATTTGTTCAACGATAAATCCAATTGAACGATATATTCGTCTCCAAAGCAAATTACCCAAACAATCTTTCTTAGATTGGGCCAATTTCATTAGAGCCCTAACTCTTGACCAAATCCAATGGCGGATTAATT